TACAACCCATGTAAAAATCTAACCACTGATATATTTAAAGAAATAGCAGGCAATAAACATAGGAAGGAAGTTTGGTGTGGTGATTTCAATGCACACAACAGTCTATGGGGCAGCAACCATACAGACAGTAACGGAAATATAGTGGAAGAAATGCTGGAGGAAAGAACACTAGTATGCCTTAATGATGGACATGGCACAAGAGTAGATGTACACAGGGGGAAAGTCTCATGCCTGGATCTGACATTAGTGTCAAACTGTTTGGTTCATACATGCGAATGGTTTGTTTTGAATAACTCCACAGTAGGAAGTGACCATTATCCAGTGCTTACTAAAATGAATACTAATGTATATATACAGGAAGGAGGTGCAATAACCAGGTGGTGCTTTGCTGAAGCTGATTGGGGGAAATGTAGGATATGGTGTGAGGAGTCGGTACACCTGCTAACATCAGAGGGAAGCATAGAGGTCATTACAAGCCAAATAACGCTGTTCTAAATGCAGCAGAGAACAGTATACCCAAAACAACAACCAAGGGTAGGAAGAAAGTGGTGCCATGGTGGAATGAGGAATGCAGCAGGGCTATTAAAGAGCGAAATAATGCATTTAGAGAATTAAAGAAAAACATGACACAAAATAATGTTATAGAGTTTCAAAGGAAAAGGGCAGCTGCTCGAAGGACAATCAAATACACAAAAAAAAGAACATGGAGAGAATTGTGTTCTACCATTGGCAGAGGTAACATTAGGTGATGTCTGGTCCATGTTTAAGCGGATGAGTGGGAAAAGGAAATCCATTAAAATTCCAGCTTTGGTTGATGGGGAGAGGCTGGCAGTGACAGATAAAGAGAAGGCAGACATGTTAGGAAGGACACTTGCAGCAGTACATAGCGGGGAACATCTCAGTGATATTCATAGGCAGCAAAAACAGCAGTTACTAGCAGAGAATGAAAACGTGAAGGGGAAGAGACCGGATAATAGGTCAGCTCTTGATGTGGAATTTACAATGTCAGAACTCAAAATAGCCTTACAAGGTACAGGTTATACAGCCCCAGGACACGGCCAGCTATGCTATGCTATGTTTAGACAGTTACCTATGGAAACTATGACAATGGTGCTGAGTCTTTTCAATACAATCTGGAGAGAAGGAGATATGCCAAGTGTGTGGAAAACAGCAGTCGTGCTACCATTCAATAAGCCAGGGAAAGATACACCCTAGTAACTACAGACCAATAGCTCTTACATCACACCTATGTAAATGGATGGAAAAGATCATTGTCCGTAGGCTCTCACATGTACTGGAGCAGAAAGGGCTGCTGAGTCGTTTTCAGAGCGGATTTCGTAAAGGGCGGTCCACAATAGATGCTTTAGTAAGAGTGAGTAATGATGTGGAAAAAACACTGAAAATGAAAGAGATAATGGCAATAGTGTACTTTGACATTGAAAAGGCGTATGACTGTATGTGGAGGGATGGGTTACTGATCAAATTGAGTAGAATGGGTATTGGAGGGAGAATGTACAATTGGGTAAGGGCCTTTTTAACAGACAGGACATTTAGAGTAAAGGTTGGAGCAGATATTTCCAACTATTTAGAAATAGAAAATGGTATTCCCCAAGGGAGTGCAGTCAGTCCAATATTATTTAACATCATGGTTAATGATATATTTACATGTTTAGACTAGGGCTGTCAGTCGATTAAAATATTGAGTTGCGGAGTTGCGTTGGTGTGAAAGGGGTATCTGAGACTCTGAGACACTGAGACTCTGAGACTCTGAGACTCTGAGACTCTGAGACTGTGAGACTCTGAGACTCTGAGACACTGAGACACTGAGACTCTGGGACTCAGAGACTCTGAGACTCTGGGACTCTGGGACTCAGAGACTCTGAGACTCTGAGACTCTGGGACTCAGAGACTCTGAGACTCTTGCCCCTTTCACACCAACGCAACTCCGGTTCAAGCTCCGTGCTAGAGCTTTTCTGGTTCAGAACCGGTTCTTCGGTTTAGCGCCGGCTCTTTTCACACCGCTCAGAGCCCGACTGGTGCTGCCGCTGCTGCGTCATGACGTCACAGTTTACGTCGCTGAGTTTCTCCCCAACGCCGGAGCTCACCTCACAACAACAACGGGCCGGGGACTGCGTTGCTTTTAATCATACGAAGCCAGATTAAATTAAATAACGACTTCTCCAACCTTATACTTTTCTCCAGAGTGCCGTGGTTCATTGTTTATTAATGTGTTTCATTTAGCGACTGCTGCAGTGCTGGCTGCTCTTCCACGGGAGTTTATTCTCCCGTTAGCTCCGGGTTAGCTCACACGGCTCTAAAGTATTCACTGTCTGACTGTCACACAAGCAGCTGATACATATCCCCAGTTCCCCTTAAGTGAATGTGTGTCAGTCTGAATTGACGCTGTTTGGCATCACAACGCTGTTATGAAAGTTTCTCTGGTATAACATGGGTGATGTTAGCATAGCAACCGAAGCTAAACTGACTACTTGCTAAGCAGTTTTCTACAGGCACTTTTTACCGACGTATTTTTCATTAGGATTCTACTTGTGATAGTCGGACATGACAACCTGTGCAGCCCATGTATTGATTCCATCCGATAGCTGCTATAATAACAAACGTCTGCCTGCTCTCCACAATGATCAATAACAGCGAACGGATGGTCAAAGTAAGGTACAAATAAACAGAATCACACGAAGCCTGGTTAGTGTTGCCTGACTTTATAAAGTGTGTTTTTTTTAACAAGTGTGTGGTTGCGTTCTAGTCACTTTGCTCAGCACTACTGCTTGTTACAACTTTTATTTGCCGTACTCACCTTAACTGTTAGCTCAGGTTAATCTCGCCCCCCTCCGACGTAATCGTGACGTATGCGGTTCTTGCTTCTAGACGGACAACTTTTTGGTGCTCGAAACGAACCGGATTCCGGAGCTATGACGCTGCTCCGCTGCGGTGTGAACAGGAAAACCCGGTGCTTTTCAAGCTCCAGCACCGAACCGGCCCCGAAACACCGTTGGTGTGAATGGGGTAACTGAGACTCTGGGACTCAGAGACTCAGAGACTCTGGGACTCTGAGACTCTGAGACTCTGAGACTGAGACTCTGAGACACTGAGACTCTGGGACTCTGAGACTCAGAGACTCTGAGACTCTGGGACTCTGGGACTCTGAGACACTGGGACTCTGAGACTCTGAGACACTGAGACACTGAGACTCTGGGACTCAGAGACTCTGAGACTCAGAGACTCTGAGACTCTGAGACTGAGACTCTGAGACTCTGAGACACTGAGACACTGAGACTCTGGGACTCTGAGACACTGGGACTCTGAGACTGAGACTCTGAGACTCTGAGACACTGAGACTCAGAGACTCTGAGACTCAGAGACTCTGGGACTCTGAGACTGAGACTCTGAGACTCTGAGACACTGAGACACTGAGACTCTGGGACTCTGAGACACTGAGACTGAGACACTGAGACACTGAGACTCTGGGACTCAGAGACTCTTAGACTCTGGGACTCAGAGACTCTGAGACACTGAGACTGAGACACTGAGACTCTGGGACTCAGAGACTCTGAGACTCCCCCTTTCACACCAACGCAACTCCGGTTCAAGCTCCGTGCTAGAGCTTTTCTGGTTTAGAACCGGTTCTTCGGTTTAGCGCCGGCTCTTTTCACACCGCTCAGAGCCCGACTGGTGCTGCCGCTGCTGCGTCATGACGTCACAGTTTACGTCGCTGAGTTTCTCCCCAACGCCGGAGCTCACCTCACAACAACAACGGGCCGGGGACTGCGTTGCTTTTAATCATACGAAGCCAGATTAAATTAAATAACGACTTCTCCAACCTTATACTTTTCTCCAGAGTGCCGTGGTTCATTGTTTATTAATGTGTTTCATTTAGCGACTGCTGCAGTGCTGGCTGCTCTTCCACGGGAGTTTATTCTGTCCACTCTGGGACTCTGAGATCTGTTCATCTAGGTGTTAGTTGCAGCTCTTCATTGATGTCGTTCTGTTCTCTAGAGATGAAGAGCAGGATGCAGATGTAGAAAACGAAGAAGAGTCAAAGGAGAAGAAGAAAAAGAAGAAGAAGAAACACGGTAACTGGAGGTCTTCTTTCCCCCCTTCTACTTTAAAGAGTCCTCTACTGCCAGGAAGTACTATAAAGAGCCCCTGTTATATCAGTATGTAGTGTCTCTACTTTAAAGAGTCCTCTCCTGCTGATGTTCAGGTGTATATCAGTATGTAGTGTCTCTACTTTAAAGAGTCCTCTCCTGCTGATGTTCAGGTGTATATCAGTATGTAGTGTCTCTACTTTAAAGAGTCCTCTCCTGCTGATGTTCAGGTGTATATCAGTATGTAATGTCTCTACTTTAAAGAGTCCTCTCCTGCTGATGTTCAGGTGTATATCAGTATGTAGTGTCTCTACTTTAAAGAGTCCTCTCCTGCTGATGTTCAGGTGTATATCAGTATGTAGTGTCTCTACTTTAAAGAGTCCTCTCCTGCTGATGTTCAGGTGTATATCAGTATGTAGTGTCTCTACTTTAAAGAGTCCTCTCCTGCTGATGTTCAGGTGTATATCAGTATGTAGTGTCTCTACTTTAAAGAGTCCTCTCCTGCTGATGTTCAGGTGTATATCAGTATGTAGTGTCTCTACTTTAAAGAGTCCTCTCCTGCTGATGTTCAGGTGTATATCAGTATGTAGTGTCTCTACTTTAAAGAGTCCTCTCCTGCTGATGTTCAGGTGTATATCAGTATGTAGTGTCCTCTACTTTAAAGAGTCCTCTCCTGCTGATGTTCAGGTGTATATCAGTATGTAGTGTCTCTACTTTAAAGAGTCCTCTCCTGCTGATGTTCAGGTGTATATCAGTATGTAGTGTCTCTACTTTAAAGAGTCCTCTCCTGCTGATGTTCAGGTGTATATCAGTATGTAGTGTCTCTACTTTAAAGAGTCCTCTCCTGCTGCTTAATGTTCAGAAACACACACTTCAAACATTTGGACATACACACTTTATTATTCATGATCTCAGTGAAGTCAGGGAGAGGCGCTGACGTCTCCTCTGCCTGGAGCCTGAAATCTCAGAGCAGCATATTGAAGATCTGCTGCAACCTGAGGAGAGCACAGGATCATCATCATCATCATCATCATCATCATCATCATCATCATCATCATCATCATCATCATCATCATCATCATCATCATCATCATCATCATCATCATCATCATCATCATCATCAGGTAAGAATTGTATTTTCCTTTCCAGATAATCATAACAACGTTTTAATGATATCGTAGGAAAAGTGATATTGTTTATTTGCGGTTCTCTTCAAATGTCCAGCAGTACAGTGCGTCTGATGACAACAGAACCTCTTGGTTATCTTTAGGAAAACGTTGTGGTTTTGATAAAAATAAGCAGAGTGTTGACGTTCTTATAGTTTAGGATGTTACGTAACAAATAAGCCAACGTTAACTTCTTGTTTAGCTCGGCGTTCGTCTGCGTGAAAGTCCAGCGCTTGGCAGACCTATCCCCCCAACTTCCTCCCCATCTGAACTTTTTTATACTATGTCACCAATCCTGGTTAACAACAAGGTGGTTTGTATATGAATGATATCACTTTTGGTACGTAGAATCACAAACTGTGAACGAGAAAGGCCTGCATGGAGTTCCACAGGGATCAGCTGTAGGCCCCCTAGGATTTCATTCCTTTATGCTCGACACATTACCCATAATCCCAACGGTCGTTACTACTACTATGTGGATGATACTGAACTCCATAATAACCTGTTTATGAAACACTGAACTTGTAGATACCTGGATAAAGACTGTGAGACGGGACAGAGAGTGAACGCCAAAGACTCATTCCCAGAGAGTTTATAAAGTTATTGCAGCGAACTTTAGCAAAACACTGAAAGTTAAAAGGTTACCTCGTCACTGACCTCCGACCGACCTCCGGATTCTCTTTCTGTGTCAAAAAGAGATCAAATATGACATTTATTTTAAATAAAGTTTCAAATCGTTTTTTTGTTCAAACGCTGCGGTACTCACTGCCTCCTCTCTGTTGGCGTGACAACAGGAAGCTGAGCGTCACCGTGACAACAAGCAGGACGACACACACTGCGCCCAGCGACCAGGTCAGAAACGCACTGGACTCTCCTGCACACACACGCACACACACACACACACACACACACACACACACACACACACACACACACACAGACACACACACAGACACCAAACAGACACACACAGACACACACACAGACACACACACAGACACACACGCACACGCACACACACGCACACACACACACACACCACACACCACAGACACACACACACACCACAGAACACACACCACACACACACAGACACACACACACAGACACACACACACACAGACACACCACACACACAGACACACACCACACACACAGACCCACACCACACACAGACACAGACACACACACACACCACATACACACACACACACACACACAGACACACACACACGACACACACACATACACACACAGCACCACACACAGCACACACCACACAGCCACACCACACAACACACACAGCCACACCATACCACACGACACACACACACACCCCAATACACCGACACACACACACACAACCCACACCAGCACACACACAGCCACACACACACACACACACACACACACACACACAGCACACACACACACACACACACACCACACACACACACACAGACACACACACACACACAGCCACACCACACATACACACACACACACACACACAGACACATACACCACACAACACACACACACACAGACACACACACACACTACATACCACACACACCACACACACGATCACACACCCACCTACACACGACCACACAGCACACACAACACACACAGACACACACACACACACGACACACACACAGCACACACAGCAGCATATCACACACACCACACACACAGCAAACCGACACGACACACCCACACACACACACACACACAGGACACACACACGACACACACACACCACACACAACACACCACACCACACACCACACACACACAACACACACACACACATACACACACACACACAACACAACACACACACACACACACACACCCACACACACACACATACACACACAGACACCACACACACACACACACACACCACACACACAACACACCCACACACACACACACACACACACACACACAACACACACCACACACACACACACACACACACACACACACACAGCAACATACATTTTTACATACAAGGAATGCGTCTTGGTGTTATCTATCATAAACAAAGAAAGAGTAAATTAACAAATAATGAATCAAATACAAACATAATGATCTGTAAGGGACAACGTGCAGCGAGGCGGTCCTTATGGGGTAAGGGACAACGTGCAGCGAGGCGGTCCTTATGGGTAAGGGACAACGTGGCATCGAGGCGGTCCTTATGGGGTAAGGACAACGTTGCAGCAGGCGGTCCTTAGGGGTAAGGGACAACGTTGCAGCGAGGCGGTGCCTTATGGGGTAAGGGACAACGTGCAGCGAGGCGGTCCTTATGGGTAAGGGACAACGTGCAGCGAGGCGGTCCTTATGGGGGTAAGGGACAACGTGCAGCGAGGCGGTCCTTATGGGGTAAGGGACAATGTGCAGCGAGGCGGTCCTTATGGGGTAAGGGACAACGTGCAGCGAGGCGGTCCTTATGGGGTAAGGGACAACGTGCAGCGAGGCGGTCCTTATGGGGTAAGGGACAACGTGCAGCGAGGCGGTCCTTATGGGGTAAGGGACAACGTGCAGCGAGGCGGTCCTTATGGGGTAAGGGACAACGTGCAGCGAGGCGGTCCTTATGGGGTAAGGGACAACGTGCAGCGAGGCGGTCCTTATGGGGTAAGGGACAACGTGCAGCGAGGCGGTCCTTATGGGGTAAGGGACAACGTGCAGCGAGGCGGTCCTTATGGGGTAAGGGACAACGTGCAGCGAGGCGGTCCTTATGGGGTAAGGGACAATGTGCAGCGAGGCGGTCCTTATGGGGTAAGGGACAACGTGCAGCGAGGCGGTCCTTATGGGGTAAGGGGTAGGGACAACGTCAGCGAGAGCGGTCCTTATGGGGTTAGGGACAGAACGGCAGCGAGCGTCCTTATGGGGTAAGGGACAACGTGCAGCGAGGCGGTCCTTATGGGGGTAAGGACAACGTGCAGCGAGGCGGTCCTTATGGGGTAAGGGACAAACGTGCAGCGAGGCGGTCCTTATGGGTAAGGGGACAACGTGCAGCGAGGCGGTCCTTATGGGGTAAGGGAACAATGTGCAGCGAGGGCGGTCCTTATGGGGTTAGGGACAACGGTGCAGCGAGGCGGTCCTTATGGGGTAAGGGACAATGTGCAGCGAGGCGGTCCTTATGGGGTAAGGGACAACGTGCAGCGAGGCGGTCCTTATGGGGTAAGGGACAACGTGCAGCGAGGCGGTCCTTATGGGGTTAGGGACAACGTGCAGCGAGGCGGTCCTTATGGGGTTAGGGACAAACGTGCAGCGAGCGGTCCTTATGGGGTTAGGGACAACGTGCAGCGAGGCGTCCTTATGGGGTAAGGGACAACGTGCAGCGAGGCGGTCCTTATGGGGTTAGGGACAACGTGCAGCGAGGGCGGTCCTTATGGGGTTAGGGACAAAACGTGCAGCGAGGCGGTCCTTATGGGGTAAGGGACAACGGGCAGCGAGGCGGTCCTTATGGGGTAAGGGACAACGTGCAGCGAGGCGGTCCTTATGGGGTAAGGGGACAAACGGGCAGCGAGGCGGTCCTTATGGGGTTAGGGACAACGTGCAGCGAGGCGGTCCTTATGGGGTAAGGGACAACGTGCAGCGAGGCGGTCCTTATGGGGTAAGGGACAACGTGCAGCGAGGCGGTCCTTATGGGTTAGGTTAAAGGGACAACGTGCAGCGAGGCGGGTCCTTATGGGGTAAGGGACAACGTGCAGCGAGGCGGGTCCTTATGGGGTAAGGGACAACGTGCAGCGAGGCGGTCCTTATGGGGTAAGGGACAACGTGCAGCGAGGCGGTCCTTATGGGGTAAGGGACAACGTGCAGCGAGGCGGGTCCTTATGGGGTTAGGGACAAACGTGCAGCGAGGCGGTCCTTATGGGTAAGGGACAACGTGCAGCGAGGCGGTCCTTATGGGGTAAGGGACAACGTGCAGCGAGGCGGTCCTTATGGGGTAAGGGACAACGTGCAGCGAGGCGGTCCTTATGGGGTAAGGGACAACGTGCAGCGAGGCGGTCCTTATGGGGTAAGGGACAATGTGCAGCGAGGCGGTCCTTATGGGGTTAGGGACAACGTGCAGCGAGGCGGTCCTTATGGGGTAAGGGACAATGTGCAGCGAGGCGGTCCTTATGGGGTAAGGGACAACGTGCAGCGAGGCGGTCCTTATGGGGTTAGGGACAACGTGCAGCGAGGCGGTCCTTATGGGGTAAGGGACAACGTGCAGCGAGGCGGTCCTTATGGGGTAAGGGACAATGTGCAGCGAGGCGGTCCTTATGGGGTTAGGGACAACGTGCAGCGAGGCGGTCCTTATGGGGTAAGGGACAACGTGCAGCGAGGCGGTCCTTATGGGGTAAGGGACAACGTGCAGCGAGGCGGTCCTTATGGGGTAAGGGACAACGTGCAGCGAGGCGGTCCTTATGGGGGTAAGGGACAACGTGCAGCGAGGCGGTCCTTATGGGGTTAGGGACAACGTGCAGCGAGGCGGTCCTTATGGGGTTAGGGACAACGTGCAGCGAGGCGGTCCTTATGGGGTAAGGGACAACGTGCAGCGAGGCGGTCCTTATGGGGTAAGGGACAACGTGCAGCGAGGCGGTCCTTATGGGGTAAGGGACAACGTGCAGCGAGGCGGTCCTTATGGGGTTAAGGGACAACGTGCAGCGAGGCGGTCCTTATGGGGTAAGGGACAAACGTGCAGCGAGGCGGTCCTTATGGGGTAAGGGACAACGTGCAGCGAGGCGGTCCTTATGGGGTAAAGGGACAACGTGCAGCGAGGCGGTCCTTATGGGGTAAGGGACAACGTGCAGCGAGGCGGTCCTTATGGGTAGGGACAACGTGCAGCGAGGCGGTCCTTATGGGGTTAGGGACAACGTGCATGCGAGGCGGTCCTTATGGGGTAAGGGACAACGTGCAGCGAGGCGGTCCTTATGGGGTAAGGGACAACGTGCAGCGAGGCGGGTCCTTATGGGGTTAGGGACAACGTGCAGCGAGGCGGTCCTTATGGGGTAAGGGACAACGTGCAGCGAGGCGGTCCTTATGGGGTAAGGGACAACGTGCAGCGAGGCGGTCCTTATGGGGTAAGGGACAACGTGCAGCGAGGCGGTCCTTATGGGGTTAGGGACAACGTGCAGCGAGGCGGTCCTTATGGGGTAAGGGACAACGTGCAGCGAGGCGGTCCTTATGGGGTAAGGGACAACGTGCAGCGAGGCGGTCCTTATGGGGTAAGGGACAACGTCAGCGAGGCGGTCCTTATGGGGTAAGGGACAACGTGCAGCGAGGCGGTCCTTAATGGGGTAAGGGACAACGTGCAGGCGGTCCGTATGGGGTAAGGGACAACGTGCAGCGAGGCGGTCCTTATGGGGTAAGGGACAACGTGCAGCGAGGCGGTCCTTATGGGGTAAGGGACAACGTGCAGCGAGGCGGTCCTTATGGGGTAAAGGGACAACGTGCAGCGAGGCGGTCCTTATGGGGGTTAGGGACAACGTGCAGCGAGGCGGTCCTTATGGGTAGGGACACGTGCAGCGATGGCGGTTCCTTATTGGGTTAGGGACAACGTGCAGCGAGGCGGTCCTTATGGGGTAAGGGACCAACGTGCAGCGAGGCGGTCCTTATGGGGATAAGGGACAACGTGCAGCGAGGCGGTCCTTATGGGTAAGGGACAACGTGCAGCGAGGCGGTCCTTATGGGGAAGGGACAACGTGCAGCGAGGCGGTCCTTATGGGGTAAGGGACAACGTGCAGCGAGGCTGGTCCTTATGGGGTAAGGGACAAACGTGCAGCGAGGCGGTCCTTATGGGGGTAAGGGACAACGTGCAGCGAGGCGGTCCTTATGGGGTAAGGGACAACGTGCAGCGAGGCGGTCCTTATGGGGTAAGGGACAACGTGCAGCGAGGCGGTCCTTATGGGGTAAGGGACAACGTGCAGCGAGGCGGTCCTTATGGGGTAAGGGACAACGTGCAGCGAGGCGGTCCTTATGGGGTAAGGGACAACGTGCAGCGAGGCGGTCCTTATGGGGTAAGAGACAACGTGCAGCGACGAGGCGGTCCTTATGGGGTAAGGGACAACGTGCAGCGAGGCGGTCCTTATGGGTAAGGGACAACGTGCAGCGAGGCGGTCCTTATGGGGTAAGGGACAACGTGCAGCGAGGCGGTCCTTATGGGGTAAGGGACAACGTGCAGCGAGGCGGTCCTTATGGGATAAGGGACAACGTGCAGCGAGGCGGTCCTTATGGGGTAAGGGACAACGTGCAGCGAGGCGGTCCTTATGGGGTAAGGGACAACGTGCAGCGAGGCGGTCCTTATGGGATAAGGGACAACGTGCAGCGAGGCGGTCCTTATGGGTAAGGACAACGTGCAGCGAGGCGGTCCTTATGGGGTAAGGGACAACGTGCAGCGAGGCGGGTCCTTATGGGGTAAGGGACAACGTGCAGGCGAGGCGGTCCTTATGGGGGTAAGGGACAACGTGCAGCGAGGCGGTCCTTATGGGGTAAGGGACAACGTGCAGCGAGGCGGGTCCTTATGGGATAAGGGACAATGTGCAGCGAGGCGGGTCCTTATGGGGTAAGGGACAATGTGCAGCGAGGCGGTCCTTATGGGGTAAGGGACAACGGCAGCGAGGCGGTCCTTATGGGGTAAGGGACAATGTGCAGCGAGGCGGTCCTTATGGGGTAAGGGACAACGTGCAGCGAGGCGGTCCTTATGGGGTAAGGGACAACGTGCAGCGAGGCGGTCCTTATGGGATAAGGGACAATGTGCAGCGAGGCGGTCCTTATGGGGTAAGGGACAACGTGCAGCGAGGCGGTCCTTATGGGGTTAGGGACAACGTGCAGCGAGGCGGTCCTTATGGGGTTAGGGACAATGTGCAGCGAGGCGGTCCTTATGGGGTAAGGGACAACGTGCAGCGAGGCGGTCCTTATGGGGTAAGGGACAACGTGCAGCGAGGCGGTCCTTATGGGGTTAGGGACAACGTGCAGCGAGGCGGTCCTTATGGGGTTAGGGACAACGTGCAGCGAGGCGGTCCTTATGGGGTAAGGGACAATGTGCAGCGAGGCGGTCCTTATGGGGTAAGGGACAACGTGCAGCGAGGCGGTCCTTATGGGGTTAGGGACAACGTGCAGCGAGGCGGTCCTTATGGGGTTAGGGACAACGTGCAGCGAGGCGGTCCTTATGGGGAAAAGAACACCCGACAGGCAGATCAGGGAGCCTGACGCGAAGCGGAGGGATCTTGTATACAGATCAATCGAACGGATTTCTTTCTGCAGATGTGAGCGTCCTTAACAACGGTCAGTAAGTCCTTGACAGCGGTCTGTCTGTTCTACTGGATTAACAACGTGTCACTTGTTCTGAATTGACCAATCAGAATCAACTAAGCCATGAAATAAATACATATCAGATATGGTAAAAAATCTCTTCTCTTGTTCCTTCTCTAGTTCCTTCTCTAGTTCCTTCTCTTGTTCCTTCTCTAGTTCCTTCTCTAGTTCCTTCTCTAGTTCCTTCTCTAGTTCCTTCTCTTGTTCCTTCTCTAGTTCCTTCTCTAGTTCCTTCTCTAGTTCCTTCTCTTGTTCCTTCTCTAGTTCCTTCTCTTGTTCCTTCTCTAGTTCCTTCTCTAGTTCCTTCTTTTGTTCCTTCTCTAGTTCCTTCTCTAGTTCCTTCTCTAGTTCCTTCTCTAGTTCCTTCTCTTGTTCCTTCTCTGGTTCCTTCTCTGGTTCCTTCTCTGGTTCCTTCTCTTGTTCCTTCTCTGGTTCCTTCTCTGGTTCCTTCTCTGGTTCCTTCTCTAGTTCCTTCTCTAGTTCCTTCTCTTGTTCCTTCTCTAGTTCCTTCTCTAGTTCCTTCTCTAGTTCCTTCTCTAGTTCCTTCTCTAGTTCCTTCTCTAGTTCCTTCTCTAGTTCCTTCTCTAGTTCCTTCTCTTGTTCCTTCTCTAGTTCCTTCTCTAGTTCCTTCTCTAGTTCCTTCTCTTGTTCCTTCTCTAGTTCCTTCTCTAGTTCCTTCTCTAGTTCCTTCTCTTGTTCCTTCTCTAGTTCCTTCTCTAGTTCCTTCTCTAGTTCCTTCTCTAGTTCCTTCTCTTGTTCCTTCTCTAGTTCCTTCTCTAGTTCCTTCTCTAGTTCCTTCTCTTGTTCCTTCTCTAGTTCCTTCTCTTGTTCCTTCTCTAGTTCCTTCTCTAGTTCCTTCTCTAGTTCCTTCTCTTGTTCCTTCTCTAGTTCCTTCTCTAGTTCCCTTCTCTAGTTCCCTTCTCTTGTTCCTTCTCTTGTTCCTTCTCTAGTTCCTTCTCTAGTTCCTTCTCTAGTTCCTTCTCTAGTTCCTTCTCTAGTTCCTTCTCTTGTTCCTTCTCTAGTTCCTTCTCTAGTTCCTTCTCTAGTTCCTTCTCTTGTTCCTTCTCTAAGTTCCTTCTCTTGTTCCTTCTCTAGTTCCTTCTCTAGTTCCTTCTCTAGTTCCTTCTCTAGTTCCTTCTCTTGTTCCTTCTCTAGTTCCTTCTCTAGTTCCTTCTCTAGTTCCTTCTCTAGTTCCTTCTCTAGTTCCTTCTCTTGTTCCTTCTCTAGTTCCTTCTCTAGTTCCTTCTCTAGTTCCTTCTCTAGTTCCTTCTCTTGTTCCTTCTCTAGTTCCTTCTCTAGTTCCTTCTCTAGTTCCTTCTCTAGTTCCTTCTCTAGTTCCTTCTCTAGTTCCTTCTCTTGTTCCTTCTCCTGTTCCTTCTCCAGTTCCTTCTCCAGTTCCTTCTCCAGTTCCTTCTCCAGTTCCTTCTCCTGTTCCTTCTCTAGTTCCTTCTCTTGTTCCTTCTCTAGTTCCTTCTCTTGTTCCTTCTCTAGTTCCTTCTCTAGTTCCTTCTCTTGTTCCTTCTCTAGTTCCTTCTCTAGTTCCTTCTCTAGTTCCTTCTCTAGTTCCTTCTCTTGTTCCTTCTCTAGTTCCTTCTCTTGTTCCTTCTCTAGTTCCTTCTCTAGTTCCTTCTCTTGTTCCTTCTCTTGTTCCTTCTCTAGTTCCTTCTCTAGTTCCTTCTCTAGTTCCTTCTCTTGTTCCTTCTCTAGTTCCTTCTCTAGTTCCTTCTCTAGTTCCTTCTCTAGTTCCTTCTCTAGTTCCTTCTCTTGTTCCTTCTCTAGTTCCTTCTCTAGTTCCTTCTCTTGTTCCTTCTCTAGTTCCTTCTCTAGTTCCTTCTCTTGTTCCTTCTCTAGTTCCTTCTCTTGTTCCTTCTCTAGTTCCTTCTCTAGTTCCTTCTCTTGTTCCTTCTCTTGTTCCTTCTCTAGTTCCTTCTCTAGTTCCTTCTCTTGTTCCTTCTCTTGTTCCTTCTCTAGTTCCTTCTCTAGTTCCTTCTCTAGTTCCTTCTCTTGTTCCTTCTCTAGTTCCTTCTCTAGTTCCTTCTCTAGTTCCTTCTCTAGTTCCTTCTCTTGTTCGTCTTGTGAACGTTCTGAAGAACCCATTTTCAGGAACCTGTGTTTGTTGAATGAACAGGATACTCACGGTTGGTCCGGCTGACGGTCTTCCGGATCTCCAGCTCTCCGTCCGTCAGAATGCAGGACACCTCCGTCCCCCCGGCCCAGATCTCTGCAGGAACCTCCACCCGGACGCTGAGGACCCCCGCCTCTCCGGCAGAGAGGGTTCTGGGACTGAGAGTCTCGCCCTCCCCGTCCAGCTCCCAGTCTAGCTTGGCCCGACCCGGGTCCTCCAGCCCCGACGCAACACACACCAGTGGCACCGGGAGGGGGGGCGTGAGGTGCTGGTCTGCAGGAAGCAGGAGGTCCACGGCCGGACTCTGCTGCACCGAGTCTGCACAGGAAGTTCATGTTTCATCAGCACAGTGACGGAAACACGCTGTCAGGGGTTTCATCAGCACAGTGACAGAAACACGCTGTCAGGGGTTTCATCTTCAGCACAATGAGCTGTGCTTATATCACAACATCTCATCTCATTCTATCTTTAGCTCATCTTATTCTATCTAACACACTATCTATCACTCCTCCTGCATCACCTGCGTCCTCTACGTCTGTCCTGGCTACATCTGTACATCTGTCCCCCTCTACGTCTGTCCCCCTCTACGTCTGTCCTGGCTACGTCTGTCCCCCTCTACGTCTGTCCCCCTCTACGTCTGTCCTGGCTACGTCTGTCCCCCTCTACGTCTGTCCCCCTCTACGTCTGTCCTGGCTACGTCTGTCCCCCTCTACATCTGTCCTGGCTACGTCTGTCCCCCTCTACGTCTGTCCCCCTCTACGTCTGTCCCCCTCTACGTCTGTCCCCCTCTACGTCTGTCCCCCTCTACGTCTGTCCCCCTCTACGTCTGTCCTGGCTACAATAAAGGCCTCATTGACCACAGAGTAACCCCTGCTTGTGTAATGTATGACGGACATGTGAATCTGTAGAAGGACTCCTCTTGCTTCACCTGTGACGGAGAGGGTGGAGCCGGCCCCCCCCAGCAGCATCGGCCCGTTGACAAAGATGCAGTAGTACCTGCCGGCGTCCTGCAGGGCGGCGTTGGAGATCTGCAGCTGACACACCGTCTTGTTCTGAGAAGAATACGTCTCCCTCAAGTTCATCCAGCTCACCTGGCCCACACGAAGCCACACCACCTGAGAGCAGGACCCCCCCATCTCAGTGATGTCACAGATCAGGGTGACCTCTGACCCCGGGGTCACTCTCACATAGGGGGGGGTCTGCACCAGCAAGGCCGCCGCACACACTGAGGAAACACACACACTGCCCGTGAGAATCAGGGAGTGATCGTCCAGTCATGGGTGATGAAATGTCCTCCTATCGTCTTCTCCTTCTACACCGCACCCCCGATATCGGGGGGGAAAACGCGTCATCTGAGGAAACAGTGTCTGAGGGCATCTTAATATTTAATAAACTATGAATGTTTTATATCCATGTAACGGGAAGAAACTCATCTCACTGATCATTTTTCAAACCCACAATGCTAACGCTGAGCCTCTGAATTAGCAACGAGCGAAAAATGCTAACAGATGACTGCACCGAAACTCACTCACAAAACCTTATTATTTATCTTTTCTGCACATCCAACACATCGTTTCACATCGTGAGGTGACACAGAACCGAAGGGTACATACATTATCACTCTATGATACGAACTCGCGACTTTATAAACAAAAACAAAACAGGTGACGCTAGGTAGCTAAAAACGCTAACATGGTTACCTTGTGTCGTAGTCTGGTCAAAACTGGTCTTCAATGGCATTAAAACGATAAAAACGCTGCTGAAGTTAATCCATAGGTTAATCCAATGTGTCTGTGTCCCTTTGAAATGATTTCTGATAATCCATAAGCATTAAAACTGCTTTTCCGTTTCCAGATGTCAGAGCTAGCGATTATTACATTACATCACATGTCACTTGTTAGACGCTTTTATCCAAAGCGACTTACATTCTCAATACTGTGGACAAACCCCACAGGAGCACTTTGGGGTGAAGTGTCTCAGGGACACAACGACATGCTGACTGCAGTGGGGTTTGAACCTGTGACCCCCTGATCCCAACACCAAGGCTCTATCCACTGCGCCACACACCTCCCTAGAGATAGGTTCTCTCTCATGCAAAACTACTTGCGCAAAGCCCCCACCTTTTTGTGTTAACGTTGGAGTCTAGTGAAAACCCCCCTTCGATTCTATTGGCTCTAACGGCCAGAAAGAGATGTCAATCACCAAAATCGACCAATGGGTTCCAGAGAAACGGAAAAAACGCCCATTTCCACCCAAATCACCTCAGAAGTGGTTTCTTTTTGCTAAATCTCTCTAAAAAGGTCACATTTCACTTGTTTTGCATCAATCTTGATACAGGGAACTTATTATATGTTGTACTTTGGATTCCTAAAGCTTTTAGTCTACTATCCCATCATCCAAGGGTAGTTTTCACTATAAGTACAAAATAATTTTTGGACGGACACTATAATTTACAGTTTTTTACTGTGTTCAATCTGAATTCTCTTTAAAATAAAAAACATCTATATTGATTCTGACTTTTCTACATCCAACTCAGAGGTTTATCATTACTTTGAGAATAAAGATTATTAATTTAACCCTTTTAGAAGGGAAGATATGGTCATTTGTTCTGGGAATGGCATTTTCGAGCCTGAGACCTGAAAAACAGGCTCAGAGCTCAACAGGTTAACCTCTGAGGAACGTCATGGGGTTAAGGAATAGTGGTTAGGAGGAATCATCCGGAGAAGACACTGCGGTGCTTTGAGAATCCGACTGCACTCACACTATCCCATCATTTAATAAACTATGAATGTTTTATATCCATGTAACGGGAAGAAACTCATCTAACTGATCATTTTTATTTATTTTTCAAAAGAAAACCCACAATGCTAACACTGAGCCTCTGAATTAGCAACGAGCGAAAAATGCTAACAGATTACTGCACCGAAAATCACTTACAAAACCTTATTATTTATCTTTTCACCACATCCAACACATCATTTCACATCGTGAGGTGACACAGAATCGATGGGTATCCTCATTATCACTGAATTATACGTATTTGCGACGTTATAAGCAAAAACGGACATCAAAACAGGTGGCGCTAGGTAGCTAAAAATGCTAACATTTTTACCTTGGCTCTGTAGTCTCTCCAAAGTGGTCTTCAATGGCATTAAAACGATAAAAACGCTGCTGAAGTTAATCAATAGGTTAATCCAATGTGTCTGTGTCCCTTTGAAATGATTTCTGATAATCCATAAGCAATAAAACTTTTCCGTTTCCAGATGTCAAAGCTGGAGATAGGTCCACTCTGATGCAAAATTACATGCGCGAAGCCCCCACCTCTTCTTTTCACAACGTGTGTGTGTGGGGGACTCCCCCTTCGATTCTATTGGCTCTAACGGTCAGAAAGAGGTGTCAACCATCAAAATCGAGCAAGGGGGGCCAGAGATATGGAAAATCCACCCAAATGACCCCAGAAGTGGTTTCTTTTTGCTAAATCTCTCTAAAAAGGTCAAATGTCACTTGTTTTGCATCAATCTTGATACAGGGTACTTCTTATATGTTGTACTTTGGATTCCTAAAGCTTTTAGTCTACTAACCCATCATCCAAGGGTAGTTTTCACTATAAGTAAAAAAGAATGTTTGGACGGACACTATAATTTACAGTTTTTTACTATGTTCAATCTGAATTTTCTTTAAAATAAAAAACATCTATATTGATTCTGACTTTTCTACATCCAACTCAGAGGTTTATCATTACTTTGAGAAAACAGATTATTAATGTAACCCTTTTAGAAGGGAAGATATGGTCATTTGTTCTGGGAATGTCATTTTCGAACCTGAGACCTGAAAAACAGGCTCAGAGCTCAACAGGTTAACAGTTTTAATCGACTGACAGCCCTACGATAAATATAAGACACGGAAAATGATGACGAAGGCTGATCTCAAGTCCTCTCAACTTTCAATGAGGCGGAAATAAGACGTTTCTGTTTGATTTCAACCCATGGAGTGAAGCCCTGCCTTTAGAGGGTCTCATGTGTCAGGAGGGTCTCATGTGTCAGGAGGGTCTCATGTGTCAGGAGGGTCTCATGTGTCAGGAGGGTCTCTCTCATGTTAGATCTTATAATAAATGTTAATATGTCTTACCGCAGAGACGCAGGAGAGGAAGCAGCTTCAGCATGTCGACCTGACGGAGGGGAGAATACAAGACTTCAGAGACTCACTGCATGCAGGTCATCTGCACACGCACACACACACACACACACACACACACACACACACACACACACACACACACACACACCACACACAGCACAGACACACACACACACACAGAGACACAGACAACACACACACACACAGACACACACACACACACACACACACACACACACACACACACACACACACACACACACACACACACACCACACACACACACACACACACACACACACACACAGAGAGCTGCAGATTCAGCGCCTTCAGACAGGAAGTGATTGTGCAACATCAGGTGAACAAAGTAGAACAAATACACAAACAACAACACAATGAATCACAAAGAGTGAGTGAACTCTGGAGAGACAGAGAAATGGGTCGTGGGACACATTTCACACCAGACGGCATGACGTGGATTCACAATATCACTGTTCTATGAGAGCTTTCTTCCATCTCAAGTTTCTTTCTTCATCGTTTACCAACTTCATCTCAGAGGCTTCACCTCACATGAGTTCCTGAGGCGTACCCCACACTCAGGACAGACACACGTCAGGTTTCTTTAGAGGCTTCACCTCACATGAGTTCCTGAGGCGTACCCCACACTCAGGACAGACACACGTCAGGTTTCTTTAGCAGCTTCACCTCACATGAGTTCCTGAGGCGTACCCCACACTCAGGACAGACACACGTCAGGTTTCTTTAGAGGCTTCACCTCACATGAGTTCCTGAGGCGTACCCCACACTCAGGACAGACACACGTCAGGTTTCTTTAGAGGCTTCACCTCACATGAGTTCCTGAGGCGTACCCCACACTCAGGACAGACACGTCAGGTTTCTTTAGAGGCTTCACCTCACATGAGTTCCTGAGGCGTACCCCACACTCAGGACAGACACGTCAGGTTTCTTTAGAGGCTTCACCTCACATGAGTTCCTGAGGCGTACCCCACACTCAGGACAGACACACGTCAGGTTTCTTTAGCAGCTTCACCTCACATGAGTTCCTGAGGCGTACCCCACACTCAGGACAGACACACGTCAGGTTTCTTTAGCAGCTTCACCTCACATGAGTTCCTGAGGCGTACCCCACACTCAGGACAGACCAGCGACGTGCAGTCAGGGGAGGCAGAGCCTCACCTGCCATACTCCAATGTAACGGAAAAACAACTAAAGAAAAACTAAATAGTAATAATAATAAAATGTCTCCACTGATCTTGTGTAAGTGTGATTTCTGTTTGATTCCAATCGCTTTTTATCGTCACAATCAGCAAATTTGCCGAGCTCCGCTACGGGAGCGATGAGAAGTGAGGCAGGGACGTGCTCTGCCTCTCGTAAGCCCACAGTAACTTGCTGGAGCACGGGCACTAATTTAGCGCGGGCACTTATTTTGTGAGCGCGCTCCAGCCAGTTACTGTGGGGTGAGGTGAGGCACAGATGAGCTCTGCCTCACCTCAGAATGCGTCACCCCACAGAAACTGGCTGGAAAGCGGGCCCTAAGCGCATGCCTGTTCCCATCTCACTGTAGGTCACCAATGTAATGTTTGTAGATCCCTTTACTGTTATCTTTCTTACAGTGCAGACGCTTTTCTGCTTGCTCTTGCCTCTGCTTACTTTTTATGCTGATTTTCCTATTCTTATTCTCTGAAAACTTCGAGCAGCGGCTCCTGGACATTAACTTATCACTGGGACAGTTATTCATCGTAAATAGACGGAGGGTTTCAGCCATATTTCAACATTTTTACGACGACCTCAGTCTTACAGTAGCGTGGCCTAGCAACAGCTAAAGCCTGGTAGGCTACTGCATGCTATTTAGCTTAAGCTAGTTGGTAGCAAAATGCCTCCGTTCTCTACAGATGACTTCCACAAACTTCAACAGAAGATGGCTGTGTTGGAAATGAAAATGCAACGGTTGGAAGTTAACGTGGAAGTGAATGGACTATGTTGTGGGAATAACACCACTTTACCAGTGTTGCAAGATAATGGAAAAGGGTATGCTAACTCACAGCTAGTTAGCAGCTACAAGGTTTCCAGGGAACAGGAGGGCTGTGTACTGGGTAATAAATCTACAAGTGGTAGTCCTCCCTGGAACTCTCTGGGTGCAAAGCCTAAGAGTAAATCATTTCCATGGGATTTGGGAGGACGAATAACAGGCAGAGCCCAGCGCTCTGAAATCTGTGATGCGACCGGCTGGCCTGCATTGTTATCACCCAGGAAGAGTGCCTCTTCAACCCCTATTCATACTAGGAAACAGCCGTGGACAGCTGCTAAAGGGAGAACTACAAACAATCCTCCTAAACCACCAAGTGTGCCAATCCAGAACAGATACGCTCCGCTGACCGAGAACCGGAGATCTCTTTCTGATGACCTGGATAACCCGTCCTCTTCACACAGCAGGGTAAGGACCAATAGCTACTCCAAAAGTAAAAGGCTAGAGGGAAAGCTAACGGCTGGGCCTGAAACTCTGATTGTGGGTGACTCTGCTGTAAGAGATGTAAAAGGTCTGTGTAGTAAGAACAACACCAAAGTACTCTGTTTTCCCAAGGATATGGTCTCCGACTTGGCTGAGAAGATCCTGCATATTGGGGCTGAACATCCGACTGTGAAGAATGTGGTACTACATATTGGAACAAATGATGTTGTGAAACAACAGTCAGAAGCGCTGAAAGAAGACTTTAAATGTCTGTTGGAAACTGTCAGCTCTCTAAATGCGGAGGTGTTCATCAGTGGCCCTCTACCGCCAGTCAGAAGAGGAGTGGAGAGATTCAGCAGACTGTTTGCATTGAACATGTGGCTTTCAGCTGCCTGCACTGACCATTCTGTCCATTTTATTGACAATTTTAACTTTTTCTGGGATCGCAGACATCTTTTTAAGGCAGATGGAGTTTGCCTGAACAAGTCAGGAGTGAAATTGTTTATCTCTAACATATTCAACTGCCTGCGTCAGCAATCTGTTCCCTCTGCCAAGGACAAGCGGCAAGAGGAATCAAAACAGGAGAAAGACACAACACATTGCGCAGAAAACCCTGAAGAAGTATCACTGCACCCGCCTGAGGAATGTTCTGATTATGGGAGACCTATGACACAAATGGAGGAGTCTCCACTGCCCGTCACCCCCCCTGTCAACGCCTTGGAGGATACTCTTCATTCATCTCCCAGCTCTCTCTACTCTCCGCTCACCCTTTCACCCTCGCCCTCCCCCCTGGAGTTCGATGACCGCATGAAGGCGAGATGCAGGGTTGGCAGCATGTCCTTTACCCCCGCCCCTCAACGACGCCCACCAAAATCACCGAAGCAGAGACGCGCACCATCTCCCCCGTCTTCATCACTGTGCCTATGTCAACCACCTCCCATCCCTTCAAGAAAGCATCTGCAGTCTCCGAAGCCTGATAAGGATGTGTGTGTACAAAACGCAACAAACTTTTACTGATATGTGCTGGGTCCAGGCTCAAGGGCATATGGCACTCTCAACTCTTTCCAGCACATGCCGGGGCCCTGCCTGCCAGTAGCTTTGCCGATATCTGTGTTGATAGGTAATAGATTAAGAGCGGTAAATCAGCTTAGAAACAGGAAGTGCTCAAACGTTTGTGTGAGGTTATCAAATTTAGCAGTGATTCCATGTCAGCCACAGCTTGTCACAAACATTTTTACTGATAGTGTATTTAACAAACTTAAACTAGCTTTATTAAATGTCAGGTCTTTGGCAGGAAAAACATTTTTAATCAATGATTTTATCACTGAGCACAATCTCGATTTTATGTTTTTAACGGAAACTTGGATTGAACAAAATAACAGTGCAGCTGTTCTTATCGAATCAACCCCTCCCAACTTTAGTTTTATGAGTCAGGAAAGAATGCATAAGAAAGGGGGTGGAGTTGCTATTTTGTTCAATGATTCCATTCAATGCAGGAAGACATCTTATGGGGACTTTGCTTCTTTTGAATATGTGGCCCTTCAGCTGAAATGCTCCGCTCGAGCTCTGTTCCTAAATATCTATAGACCACCGAAATACTGTGCAAGCTTTTTTGATGATTTTACTGAACTGCTGTCTATAGTGTGTATTGACTTTGACCGTCTAGTCATTGTTGGTGATTTTAACATCCATGTTGACAACCCCCAGGACAGAGGGGCTAAAGAACTGTTTTGTGTTCTTGATAACTATGGACTGACTCAGCATGTGACGGAGCCCACGCACAATAAGGGGCTCACTCTGGACTTAATTATCTCAAAGGGTCTGAATATCTCAAAGGTTGTGGTGACTGATGTTGCACTCTCTGATCATTCCTGTGTTTTCTTTGAGAGCTCTATTTCTGTTCACAAAAATGTTCAGAAAGAGGTAACCACAAAGCGATATTTAACAGAAAATACTAGGGAAATGTTTACTCATAATTTTTCATCCACACTTGCCCCTGCTAACATCTCAGTAAATGAGCTAGTAGATCATTTTAATTCAAAAATTAAAAATGTTATAGATGCCATTGCTCCAACTAAGGTAAAGGAAGTGATTAGCAAGAAAGATCTCCATGGAGAAAGGCCATGACCGTGAGAACAGAAAAAAGAGAGTGTCGAAAAGCTGAACGTAGGTGGCGAAAAACAAATCTCCAGGTTCACTTTGAAATCTATAAAGAGAGACTTGGCTTTTATCATTTGGAATTGAAAAACGCACGACAGTCTTTCTTCTCTGACATCATTACCAAAAACAAAAACAACGCACGTGCCTTGTTTGCTACCGTCGACAGACTAACTAACCCCCCAGTGTCAGTAGCCTCTGAATTTCTATCCACCAGGGCGTGCAATGATTTTGCCTCCTTCTTCACTGACAAAATTCAGAAAATTAGACAAGCAGTCAGTGCCTCTGCATCAGGTACAGCAAATGTTTTGTCCCTATGTCCACCTAATATCAATTCAAACACCATGACACAATTCCATCAGATTAATGGTAAAAACTTAGAGGACATTATTCAACTTCTGAAATTCTCCTCCTGCTGCCTTGATATTATTCCAACAGGATTTTTCAAAGATGTTTTTCCTTGCATGGCCTCAGATCT